ATAGCTGGGGTAAGATTTAAACTCTCAAGTATTAGTTTTTCGGGTTTTTAAAAAATGATGTCCGAACTCAGGATCCAGTGGTTTGAATCCAATCATGTTTCTGCTTGTTATGAGCTTCCTCTGTTTTATTTATAGCATTCTCCTTCTATTCAAGAGGTCAAAGTTTGTGGTCTAAAATTATCTCTTTTCCTTGTCTTAGAGTCATGCCCAGTGAGGGAAAAGCTCTGCTGTGGTTTTTAGCTCCCAAAAACCCAATGGGGCTACTTAGTAAGGCAGCTCTGAAGTGGGCTGCATTCTGAGGGTGGAGTCCTGTTTTGAGGCTGAGACAGCAGCTTAATCCTGGGCTACTCAGTGGACCACCAGACAGCTGGCCTCCCCCGGTGCCAGGGGCACTGCTCCTACCCACTATTGTCAGAGTCACCCAAGGGAGCTCTACAGCCATTGGGGGGCTGCAGTTGAGGACTAGGGGCTGCAGGTGTCGGGGAGGACTTCCCCCAGTTGACAGTGTCATTTCAGATGTGTCCCCTCTCAATAAAAAAAAACCTTCAGAAGCAAAGTTCCCCAGGTTTTCCTCGTGACAAGCCTGTAACTTGTCATTGTGAGAGGCTGCTTATCTTTCAATTTTCTTCCAGTCAAAATTAGATGAAGGTACTTCTTCAGGCTGGCACTGAACCCCACTTAAATGTTTACTCAGAGAGCACAGAACACTCTCCCTAATGTGAAAACCCCTTCCTCCTGCCCATTCTTCAAACACCCAATCTTTGTGAACATTTCCGACTGCTCCAGCTCAGAGAGATCTCTCCCACCCCTGCACATCTCTAACATTTGTCTTCCCAATTTTCCATTAACTTACAGTTCCAACTTTAAGCAAGGTCATAATATAAGTCCATAGGTAAAGTCTAGTGTTTTGAACTCAGGCCACTTTTTCCCACAAGCACAACCACGCCACCTGGCAGGGCCTCCAGACAGCAGTGCAGGCTGGCTCGGGGCCATATCAGGGCAGTGGCTCTGTGCTGCCACTACCACTTGTTAAGTGTGTGCCATGTGCACGACACTGTGCTATGCATACCATGAGGATCAACTTGTTCCTTTATTCCCCACAAAGACCTTATTATTTTCATTTTACAAATGAGGACACTGGGATTTTGAGAGGTAGACTATGCAAAGTTACGTGGTCAGTAAGCTGAGATCCAACTCAAATCTAGGCCTGTTTAAATTACTATACTGGATATTTGCAACGAAACCAGCAAAACACTATGAAGTGATGCTGTTGCAAATAAAGCACAAAGAATAAAATTGGCACATGAAGTCACACTGGTTGGGCGTGTTTTGTTGGAGCTCAAGGTTAAAGAGTTGCTGTAATGAGATGCCTTGTGTGGAATGTATGTGTCCTCCCCCGACACTCGAGTGCTGATCTGTATGCCTGCTTCAGAGCAATTAGAAATGAGAATGAGGGCAAAAAATACAATCTGGATCAGTGAATTTCTCAAACAGGCCATCATGAGATCCTAAGAATTTCCAAAAACCCCCTAAAGATGCCTATCATGACTTAATCTCAAATGAACCACCCCATGAGTTATCTGACCTTTTGAATAGCTGTAGTAAAATATGACAAGAATGATAAAGATGAGAACTTAAGCACAATGCCATGTCCTATTAAATGTAATTTCATATGGTAAGAAGCTTACTTTGTACACATAAAGGTTATACAAGCTTAGGGGTTAAATCATTAAAGTTTTCCTACAAATATATTTGCTATAACTTTGAGTGCCCCTTGAAGCAAACATTTATAGATGTAAATAAAATATGGTATCTCTTAACTTCAGTATCTTCTGGAGATGTTTTCATTTGCCACTCACTTTTATAGTATTTTGGTGTGTATTATAACTATTAACTCC